TGCCCTAGGCATTGAACGACATGTGAGCCTACTCGATGATCGATGGAATAGCAAAAAGTCGAAATGGGGTACAGACGCACTGCCTCATCCATCAAACTAGGTGTGCAAATTATTAGATATGCATTGGTGGGTGTCGCAACTCGATGTATGTACATTAGGAGATTCGTAAATTAACACAAAACACAACCATGAAAGCCGGCAACAAGGGCTACAAACAATTCATCATTTCAACCGGCTACCAAGGCAAGTAAGAGAAAGAGACTCACAAACGCGATATCCACGGAAAATGAGAAAATAGTTCACAGATGAGAGTTGTAGGCCAGACAACGTTTAGAAAACCAGGGTCGTTCGAAAAGAAAAACGGAGTGATGGTGCAAACGAATGAAGGGTGTGTGAAATATCAGATGTATGAGTGTCTCCGAGTCTTCCTGCCCACTTTGGAGCCTCTGCTATCACTTGTCCGCTTCGGTAAAGTTAGTATTCCAATGACCTTCTGCCATGTCTTGCTCTTGTTGCTCTTGACACGCTTGTCGTCATTCTTGACGTTGTCTTCTGTTTGCGCTGCAGTTTCCACAGACGGGGGAGGGACGTTCTCTTTGTCTTCATCTTCATCAAGGATGTCTTGCATTCGGCGTTGGCTTGATAGTGAATTTGATGACTGGGAAGGTTGAGTGTAATCGTGGAGTATCGCAGGCGACGAGAACCGAACTTGTTGATGAGCTTGCGTATGGTTATGACCTGTATTGACACGAGTGCTAGAACCAGCAGATGATGAAGAGTGGTCGGGATCTCCTGGGGCGAACTCTGAGTCCTCGTTGGGGACAACGTAGATGTTGGGAGCAAACGAGACTGACTTGCGATACACGCTTGGGGTAACAGTGACACCGCTAGCGATAGAAAAACGCTTTGGAACTTCGACCAGTTGAGAGAGTCTCTTTGACATCCGTCTGAGTGTCTTCAATTCCCTCATGGGCGACTCTTTGGCTGTTGCACCTTCTCCCGTGTATCCTAGCCTGCCTACATTCCATCCCCGCTTTCCATACCACCTCCTTGACCTTTCCCATTCGCTGTTACACTTCTTGCAAGGCTTACCGGACCGGATATCCTGAGTATGATCTTCATCGGGCATCGCATTGGACTGAGTACCATCGGAAATGGACCCGGACCTGGCAAGTTCCAATCCAAAACCAAATCCACATGCTGTACATCGGGGAAGCGGAGGCAGAGGTGTCGGAGGTGTGGTTGGGGCCAAGGGAAGACGACCCGGCGTCGCCGAAGGTGTCCGTGGGGCCAACGAGTCCCGAGAGGTAAGAGGCGTCACAAGGCCAACTCCGGGGTTATGATAGGGAGTACGTCCAGCATTGGCAGCGCAGGTAGCACGAGGTGGTGTACAAGGAATCCCAAAATCTATTTCTGTACAATCAGATTCCGCAGGCACGCGTTTGTGCTTAAATTGGACAGCGGGATCACTGCCGGTGCTACTAGACTCGGATTCGGACAAGGTCAACGGGACAGGCTGAGCCACCGCAAAGGATGAGATATCAGCAAACTCCGGTGTTGGGAATGTCAGAGTTAGCATAGGTGCAGGAAGCAGGCCCTGGGATGGATTGGAAAGCCGAGATGTCCGAGACCTCAAGCTACCCGAATTGCACTGGGAAAGACTGCCTTCCACTATCGAAAGCTGACTTTCAGTCGTCAATATGGATGGAGAGAACAGAGGCAAGGTCATGGCCAGGACGTCTCTAGGTTGGCCGACGAGTGTCGTCATATGTGCTCGCGATCCAACTGGGGAACAGTCGGCGTCAAAATTCTCCTCTGCTTGATTCGTTATCTGTGCTTGTGCTTGGGCCCAGACAGCATACATACTGTCGTCGCCGTCAAACTCTGAACCAGATTCAGGAGAATCATTAGGACTAGACGAGGACAATAACACAGCTGAAGGAAAAGGAGTGATGTAGGGAAGGAGGAACTGAGGCCTTGATGGCTGTTCTATCATCCTCGGATTCCGAAGCATCATTGGTGGTGAAGCAGGCGCAGACAAAGAAACTGGAGGTGAAGACGGAGGTGACCAAGGGTTGGGCAAGGGTGGTGATTGAAAGGGGTTAGTAGGTGGCAGAGAAGGTGGATTTGATACAAGTGGAGAGTTGGCAAGGCGTGGAGAGAAAACTTGTATCAAGTCAGCAGGTAAGCTTTGATCAACTTGCGAAGGTGAGCTAAGCGGAATGAATCTGTCGCCACCATCAGAAGTATTGTACCGCGAAAATAGAGTCGGGATGTGCTGGAGAGATCTACGCATAGAAGACTACATCATACCGAGACAAACTTTTTTTAGCATTATACATGCAGATAGAATCGCAGACACTCACATCCATTTCGTCAGCAGTGGTAACTTTGGTACGACGGCAAGCGCTTTCTGCATCGTCACCAGCGGAGTCTTTCCGACAGGTGTCATCACCATCACGGGCGTTGACCGTAAACGCAGGAACCCTCCCTTTGCAACGCTTCAAACTTCTCGACGAACTTAGCTTTGCAGAATTAGGATCTGCGCACTCCGTTTCTTTGGTACCAAAAGTACAAGGGCCCACTTCAACATCTGAAATGGCGGGAAGAAGATCAATACCATTGACTTCGTTGCTAATGCTCGTGACGGCAGTACGGACAAGGGAAATGTCCGCCGACCCTTGAATTGAAGAGACGCCCAGAGCTGATGGCTCAGGTACCATAGTAAGCCGAGTCAACGAATTTGTATCATCAGCGGAGTCGAAAACAGTTGAACCAAGTGGAGCGGTCAAAAAAGTAGCGTCTGCATCAAAAGAAAGCGACAATTTAGAATCGACGGGGCGAACAGAGCTTTCAATGAAGGTAGTCACTGTTGCCGAGAAGTTGCAATCCTGAACAGAAGTTGTCGCAGATGCTGAGGGTTCACCAACACGACCAAGACTGGCAGTACCAGTATAGGCAGTACAAGAATGTAAATCCACGCCGGAGTCACCGAGAAGATCATCCCCATTATCACCTTCTCCATCATCAATCACGTTACCGGCATAGGAAGAAGCTGGAGCATTACAACTCGTACGAGTAGCCGTCGGGGTATTCCCGCTAGTCTTCCCAGTCTTCTGGATAAACAGAGGTTTCGCTAGTGATGCATTCGCGTTCACGGTATCCGATCTCAGTCGAGATCCCGTCTTTCTCTTTGCAGAACGTGGCGGCCTCGGAGGTAGAGGAGAGTCTGACAAGGTCATAGCATCGAGAGCTTGGCTGTTCGTCAGCTGGAGTTTTAACTCTCTAGAAAACCTTTTGGACGACTTCGGTGGTCTAGTGGGTTTTTCCGGGGTTTTCAGCGACTTGGATGCAATGGTAATATCCCCATCTTTCGACTCGAGCCGTGACTTTGAAGGAGAGCGTGAGCATGAACGAGACTTTATCTTTGGCCTCGCTCTGGTTCTTGATCCAGTCCCCGATCTGGACCGGGGTGATGGAAACTGAGCTTTGGTCCTAGCTCTTCCCCGCTCCTTCAAGGCAGTTGAAAAGGCAGCGTTAGGTGTGGACTCGACCAGAAAGGGATCCTCCAAGGACAGGTCGAAACGCCTGGACGACACCTCGGGAACATGAAAGAAGGATTCGGAATCCGAAAGTGGGATAGACACGTCTGGAGTTTGTATGATCGATTCGGTGATTGAAATGAACGGGTCTTGGTCTTGTTGGTCCTCATTCTGACTTTTAGACGTGTTGCTGGACGAGAAAGAAAGAAAAGTGGTCCCGGTTGCAGGAACAGTCGCGTCCTGCAAAGAACTGAGGACAGGCACAGGCTTTCGCCAAGACAAAGGTCTGCCAAACGAGAGCTTCGTGGGTTTCTCGTGTGGATTTGGACTGCAGTTTTCATCTTGCTTTCGAGTCCCAGATGACGTCTCGTGTTCAAGACTTTTCAAGAACCGCGGAGACGGGGATTCCTGTGAAGACTGTCAATTCAACAAATAAAAGACCTCAAGCCTTACGAACCATGGGTGACGATGGAAATCCGCGAGGATACGGAGTCGCGTTTGACCGGGAGGTTCGTGGCGGAGCTCGGCGTCTGGGGGTAAAATTTTCATCTTTGGAAGTACGAGAAGGTCTAGGTGAAGGTGATTCCTACGATACGTAACGTTACCAAAAAAAACAGCTCTAGTACAAAGAAATGTCTTACAAGTAAAGAAACAGTGACCGCAGTCATCAAGTCAACGTTTGCATTGAATCTGGTTGCCGTACTTCCATGACCTACGGCCAGAGACCGGATCTGCAACGATTTAGTAAATATACTTGTTCTAAACTTCGAGCAAACTTACCGAGTTTTCATATGGGCAACTATTCCCACAGCACGAGGTGCCATTTCTAGAAAGGGGCCTGCCTCTAGAGGTCGACTGGGATTTTCGGTTGATGAAGCACGCCGAGTGTAGGCTGGGTACTGGCGAAAGGCGTTCCACTGTCGGTCCTGAAATAGAGGAAGACAGCGAACGCGAGCGGCGAGATTGACTTTGAATGGGTCTAAGAAAATCGCGATTGGGAGATCTTGTACGCGAACGACCAGTGAAGGCGGGCTTTCTAGTCAGCTCACCAAACTCCGAAGTAGATACGTTGAATTTGGAGACTAGATGTGGTCAGACACTATGATATACATTTAATATCCTCGACATACCAGACGCCTTTGGGTCATTTCTGAAGAAGTTATTTAGCGTTCCGGTGTGATATATGGGATCTGGAAGAGAAGGTGTAACTTTGAAGGACTGCAATTTTGATAATTAGAAGTATTCAGATGAAGAAAAAAGGGTATACTCACGGGTCTCGGGGCTATTATCGTATATAAAAGCTGTAAAGTAGAGTCCAACATGGCTGAAGGCAAATTTGAGGTGGGCGTCGCGAAGAAAGATTGGAAGCTGACAGTGTGACGAAAATCCAGGCGTGTCACGGCACATGATCTGTGACACATGTTCGGGTGTAAATTTTTACAAATTTCTGCCATTACCGCCCGCCTAGCTCAATCGGATAGAGCGTCAGACTCTTAAGTTAGGCATCTGAAGGCTGCGAGTTCGACCCTCGCGGTGGGCTAGTGATTTTTTGATTCTTTTGCGGTGTCCGAGGCTTCGACTTCAACCATTTTAACTCGGTAAAATAGATCTCGAAAGGTAACCAGAGTGCTTACAATCTTTTTTATTTCGTCCGAGTTGGTGTAAACAATGTAAATGATGGCGGGTACTATCAATTCTGGTTTCTCCGTTTATCTAGACCACCTAACCTAAGATTAGCGACACCTCAATAACATTCTATCACCTTGGGCCCCCGGCAACAAGCCTCTTTGAGAACTAATGTTACAAGACCGACGGAATCACCCGCGCCACTCGTTCCTATCGCAAGCGATGTGAATTTTTAGGACGTTGAATATGGTTCTGGAGATTTCTCTCCTCCGTTCGTATACAGACTGATGATAGTGGCACATCGTGTCACGCCAGATTTGTCTGCGCCAATGGCTCACCATATCGTTCAGTGCCCCGTTAATTATATATAGAGCCTGATAATTGTCACTCAACTCACTCTCCTTTCATGGACAGAAAAATGTGCTCCCTCTGGCATTACTTCCCGAGATTCCTGCTCTTGTCTAGTATTGTTGTCGTGATCGTCATGGCCGTATCCCCTGCATATACTAGTACGACATCTGTCGAACAAGCTTGCCAAAAACTCAAGTCCACCCTAAACGTTGATCGAGTCGTCGTCTTCTCTCCAGGATCAGATCAATACGAAGCGGCAGCGACTGGAGCATGGAACGCTGCTAATCAACAACTTCGGCCGACCTGTATAGTATTTGCTGCCAACGCAGCCCACGTTCGAGTCGCGATGAAGATCATTTTCGACACTCGGGTCAGTTATGCTGTTCAGGCCGGTGGGCATAGCGGGATGAAGGGCTGGAACAAGTAAGGCATTACTGCTTTCTGGTGTTCGCCACATGCTAACCAATGGACTTTTTCCAGCGTCAACGACGGAATCTTGATATCATTCTCCTCCATGAAAGCTGTCTTTTACGATTCCGAGAGGGACACAATTACATTCGAACCCGGTATAACCTGGGCCGACGCAGTTGCTGGTCTCGAGTCCGAAGGGGTGGCAGCGGTCGGAGCTCGCTTCAGGTGCGATGTGATTGATTACTATGTTTTATTACCCGAGTTGACCTTACACATCCACTTAGTGACGTAGGCCCTGGCTTCCTCCTTGGTGGTGGACTCAGTTTCCTCTCTTTTTCGCAAGGCTACGGAGCCGACAACTATGTTGAACTTGATGTCGTACTAGTCAACGGAACATCTGTCACCGCCACAGCCGACAACGAATACGGAGATTTGTTTAAAGCGTTGAAAGGAGGGGCAAATCGTTTTGGAATTATCACAAGGTATGAAGTTCGAGCAATTCATATTGGCAAGGAAGAGGACAAGACGTGGTATGGGGGTTTAGTGACCGTAAGTATTTCCCTCTTTCAGGATACTCGATGCTAATTCTATTAGTATCCAAAATCCTCACACGAAGAATTACTAGCAGCCACTGCCCATTTTGCTCGCAATTCAAAGGATCCTAATGCAGGTGAGTAATTACTCAATAGATTTCTAATGTCTGTCTGACTTCCCATCCAGTGCTCCTGAACTCGTTTGACCATGTTGGCGACTTGGTCATTGGCAACGCGTACATGTTCTACAACGGTTCAGCCACCCTCTTTAATCAAACCTTTTCCGAATTCTTGTCTATTGCTTCCAATACCACCGACCTCGGCTCCCTTAGTTACGTCGATGTCTCTAATGTCCTCGATGCGTCCGGTGACGAGAGCGGCCACTTACAGTTGATGACTAGTACAGCGCTGGAAGGCAAAGCCGCGGACGAGTCAATCGAATCTTACTTGGAAACGTATCGGCTCTGGGACGATTTTAGCACCACTTTCTCTGACGAGTTGACTTTCGGTGTCCTAGCCATCTCACCAATTACCGAACCTCAGATCCAAATTGGCAGAGAGCGAGGAGGAAACGCCATAAATCCCCCTATGAGAGGGTTCGTAAACATGATGTTCCAAATAGCTCTTCCGCTGGGTGTAAATGAAGTTCCGATGGACATGCAAGCGGCGAGGATGGATTATCTTCAGCGGTGAGTATCTTTTACCTACTTTCATGTGCCTGTTACTGACTACTATTCATTTACAGTGCCCCGATGGACCCTGGTTTACCTTTAAATATCAATGAATGCGACGCTAGTCAGAATGTATTCGCGACCTACGGCGAGTTTGATTTCTTGAAAGCGACATATGCCAAATATGATCCCAGCGGGTATGTTCTAGCTTTAGTCTTGCTATCAAACGGCACTTACATAGATGGATAGCTTCAATCTGGCGTATACCCAAGGTCCTATCGGACTATGATGGAATGTTGATGACTCTTTCGCCGTGTGTGGGTATCTCTCCGTCAAAATTTAGTTCAGGTTATGTGTGAACTACTTGATTTTATGTTTTTAAGCTGGTTGTAGCCCTATTGATAAAATGATAAAATGAAAAATAAGATGTGACGCGACGGCACGCGGTCATGTTGAAGTCACGCTGATCCGAAAACTCTCACGCATTCTCCCCGCTGCTAGAGACGTCAGACGTCAGCTTCACCTGCTCACTTCGGCCACCTCTGCGCCGTCTTTCTGCTATATATTTTAATGAAGAAGCCAATAACTGAATCCTTTGAACTTGCTGTTCTTGTTCTAGTCTAGATGGATACTGTTCCGATCAAAGACACCAACGCTCCCGTACATAGCGGCCAGGGGCTATAAGGCTCTGACTCTTGTCACCATCCCATCATGTCCTTTTCGCATTGCCTTGCTCCGCCACTTGCTGTTCTGTCTGGCAATGAACCATCGACCCAATCCCTCTCCTGCGTTGATTCTCAACCTTCCAGACCTCCTTTATCCGAGTATTTAAATCCTTCTCAACGGAATGGCAGCCCAAGGAACGACATCCTTGTATGGAAAGAGGCCCATATCTTCCGCCTACCACCTGAGCTACTCGCGCAGATATTTCTTGCAGTTTGTGAAAGGGAATTGCATTCTTGCATTAACCATTCCGATAAAGGTTCGGAGCCCTACCCCGGCTTCACCCTGAGCTATGTATGTTCCTACTGGCATAAGATAGCTTTGGGCACTTTCCGGCTGTGGTCCAAAATGGAGATTGTCATAATGGATAAGGAGGACGTCTCGCCTAGGACCATAGAGCTGATAAATCGTTTTGTTGATTTTCACTGGAAACGTATGGCTAATGCTCCACTCGACTTCATTTTACATATTCCTTCCCCGTGTTCAGTCGAATTCTCCCATCCAGAACGCATGTCATCGACTTCGTTGCGCAAGCATATCACCCCTATTTTACAACGCTTCTATGCAGAGGCACACAGATGGCGTAATGTCTCCATCTCTGCTTTCGAACATCAATTCTACTCCGAAGGCACGAGATTGCCTCCAAAACTGGCTGTTGCAGAGAACTTGGAACTGTTTTCGCTCTACTGCCGTCGAGGATGCCCCTTACCTGAAGGCTTACCTTTTGGGCTCCGTTCCTTGACCTTATCGGGAGAATGGGTTATCGACAAGGACCTTTCCAGGACGACATTCCCTTGTTTAGACTCCCTCACTCTCCGAGGGGCCATACACGACTCATACCTACTTCACCTTTCGCCTCTTTGGCTGGCGTCCTCTCGGACCGCTGTTACTCTTTCCGACTTTTGCAACATTCGCTCTCTTCCTGCTCACAAACATATTGCGTGTCTTGCTGGAACATTGACGCTAGCGCCTACATTCTATGGTGATACCGAATCAACTAATGGAGCTTTGAGTGACTTACTGGAGAAACTTACCCTTCCTAACGTCACTCAACTCGCATTTTCCTATGGACCGGAGAGAAAGTCACCTACTAGCATGTACACACGATCATTTCGTTTTCCTACCCAGATATTCTTAAACCTACTCGAGCGCTCAAATTGCCAAGCAATCAGTCACTTGACGATCGAGCGTTATTCTATGGACACGTCCGGGTTCCTCGACATCCTACAAAAACTTCCTTTTCTCACCTATCTCTCGGTGGATGAACGCTGCGGGCCTTGTGATACTAGAGACTCGTATCCCATCTTGAGTCCGGTGGTGTTCAACTCTCTTTGTTGGCCATCTCCTCCAGTTGATCTTATAAAGCGGCAAGAAATCGCTTTCTGGGCAAACTCCTATTCAGAACTCTTGCCGAGATTAACCGAAGTACGATTCGTTTTCCACCGTTCCTGGTCCAAGTTTTCAGATAGGAGCGATGTCTGGGAAATGCTGGAGAGCAGACGTCCTGGGGCTGCTGATGGAGCGAATGAGCTTACTTGTTCGAAGCTCTGTTCTCCCCTGAAGAAGATAGAGATCCTTGTACCTGATGGCTCCCTGGAAAACAGAGATTACGAGAGGCTGGCGAATTTGAGGATGATGGGAATGCGCATATCGTTGGAAGAATATAGACCTCGGGTGGTCACGATAGGCTGCTGTGTGCCGTTAATATCTTATGATTAGTTCGGGCTTTCTCTGCATTCTCCTAAGGTGTATACAAAACACTATTCATTCGACTACTGCATTACTTAAAAAAAACAAGTCAAACGTAAAGCCATCACTAATAGAATAAAGAGATCGAAGAGGACTCAGATCATTGTCACATAGTTCGCGGTCATCCTCGTCGTCTTCGTAAATAATTAGCTTGCATGCTCGTAATCTAGTCCCTAACAGCATTTTCGTTGTGTCAGCTCTCGCGGTTACCATATTTCTGAGTCTATCTTGCCACGTCCAGTCAAGATATGCCGGATTCATAGCAAACTCCAAGCTCTCCAGCTTTGGTAGCGCAAGATCCACATCTGAATCAGGGTAAAGGTAGTCCGTAAGAATCAAATAGTGTAAGTCAGAGTAATATGGATTTTCGAGTTTTGGACTGTCACGGATTGTCAAAGAGACAAGAGAGGGGAGAAGGCGGAGGAGAGAAACCATGAAATCTCGATTCCTGAGAGGGGCTGGATGATAAGATCGAT